GCTCGAATCCAAAGACACCAAGGGTCCAAGCAAGTGTATGCGAAGCGTGATTATGTAACCATTTTGTCTGTTGTGACCAGAATAGAAGACCGCCCTCAGTGTTGAGCGATCCAATAAGAATGTATGTTGGAACGCAAATTACCACCAAAACAATACCGAAACTACGGAAGCTGGCCATAGGATCCATGTTAGTCATGCCAAAGACGGAGGTAACGAAGGTAAGAGGAAGGAAGAAGATTGTAACGAGCGTCAGCAATTTGATGTTGCGCCCTTGCTGTACTGTGATTGCCTGTTGCTGCACCGACCTGCGACTTTCTAGAACGGATGTGCCACTGAAGAGGTTATCTCGAAGGCCCTTTATTTCTTTGATTTTCTCATCGTTCAGTTGATCGATTTCCTCCAGTCCACGAATCTCATGTTCGATATCCTTTCGGAGGCCCGCCATTCGCCTTCGCCAGTGAGCAAAGCGCGAGGACTGGCTCTCGTCTCCGGGCCAGATGATTTTGTCTGATCCATTCCATACGTTATCTGTAAAGGTATACTTATAAGCGGATATCATTTCGTTTATGTCTTCATTCATGATGCCCAAAGATTGCTGAGCCCAAAAATAACGTCTAATATACGTGAACTCATCATCTTCGAAGAGAAGCTTGTCGCGTATGCTCTGCTTGAACATGAATTCTGGAGGAGACCTGACGAGGTCGGAGATCCTGTTGTAGACCTCCATCAGTCGCTTTTGTGCGTCCTTGAACTCCGCCCGTAAAGTTATGAGGAAGGCTTCAGGCCCGTTGACATAATGTTTCGTTGAACCATGGTTGTGGACCGAGCTTTTCCAGTCAGGATATGCTTGCACACTCAGAACGTGCCAAGGGCTGAAGGGGTCATAGACATCTCCAACCTTGCGGCTGATCCTCCGGTTACGGTTCCTGATCTTCGATACAGGCTCTCCACCAAGCCATAGAGCTACAACTGAGCAGCACCTGCTGATGGGGACGTGCCCTTCCATGGCTCCAACATCAGCTCTTTCGTCTGCTCGTTGCCACTTCATGGGTACACATTCATCGCCAACGATCGTGAAATACTCAAAGGTAAACACGAAGGTCCTTCGATGTATGGGATCGAGATCAAATGGCCGGTGAGGTAGAGCTGCGGTTTTGTCGTCAACGAGCAGCTGGAATACCTCATCCATGTCGAAGTGCTCTCTCATAGTATAGTGGAGAGCGGCAAAGAGTAGAGGCGAAGGTTCTCGAACGATGGTGATTCTGCCGACTGCCAGGCGCTGCTCCGCTGATCCCGCGTTGGTGCTCTTGATCTTGTTCCAAATGACCAAAGCCCTTGACAGATCAGCTTCTGATGTGAGTCGGATGGGCAGAGGCGCCCCGTCGTTGCCCACTGGAAATACGTACGTTAGAGACGATCGAAAAACACGGAAGCAACACTGTTGCCCATGCTCGGAACTCAAACATACCATTTAAGATGCTGTAATGTGATAGATGCGAACGATCTTCTGCTTCACCAATGTTGGTAGAAAAGATTGTCCCACGCTGTCCTACTACCTGATCTCTGCCAGCGATATCTCCTAAGATGTCTCGGCCAGCCTCAGTCCACTCGTACTCCTTGACGTGTTTCCTGAGCCCCTCCTCGTCGTACGACTCTTTGGGCAAAGTCTGCTGGACGAAGAGCGATTCGTCATCGTCCGTATCTGAATCCTCTTCGATAGAGTTACCAGAGTCCTTCGACACAGTTTCTACCTCCAGTGTAGAGGATAAAGCTCCAGTATTTCTGCGGACGGCTTCCGTGGTGAGGCGCGGGGGAGGTCTGCCTGAGGAGGCAGCGGCGAGAGCTTGGGCCAATACATCGTGAGCTCGACTGAGGGTATCGAAGTATTGTGTTCTGTCATCAGCAAGCTGCTTCAACATCTCCTGTGCGGTAGCAGCATCGAGCGCCATAGTAATGCCCAACAGCAAGCGCAGTCAAAGGGAAGTGCAACATGTCCAGAGATAGAGACAAGTAAACAAGCAGTGTCGTGATGAGAGGAATGGGGGTGATACAAGTACTGAAGGAGGGGAAGCAGAGCTTCCAGGCCTTTCAGCCTCGTCTTCGAAAGCTTCACCACCATGGTGCCGCCAAGACGAATTCGCAACGACGGCATGAACGGCCGAGGCTGGCCTTACGATTTACAAATGCCAGGTGGAAGCGAATGCCAAGGCTGGAGCGGGGCAGATTCCGCTGAGTGTCAACAAGTCTCCTCCCCTTGTTCGAGCTAATGCAGGTTGACTGACGAGCACCAGGGCAAGAGGGTCGGTGACAGAAGTCTCTGCCGACTTTTAGTGGGGGCTGCGGGAGAAAGTCGGCAGAGACTATTGTCACCGACCCTCGGCAACAAAAACTATTCTGTGATCTCGCTCGTGCCACTCTACAGATCTTGTTTGGTCTATCTTTTCACCACAAGCACTATGGCTGACCAAACGCCCAAATCCTATCACACCGATCCTAATCTCTACCTCTATACCTCTCTCACAGCGGGCTCCTCTCAGATAATCACCGCAACATCGCGCATGGAAACCATACTGAAAGCGAACAAGATCCGATTCCAAGCTTTAGACGTCGCTACAGATGAGAAAGCCCGCATGCTATGGGGCCGAAGAGCAGGGAAAAGAAAGCTACCAGGGCTAGTCAGGATGGGCATGATCGTTGGCGATTTGGAGGAAGTAGAGGAGTGGAACGAGTATGGCGAGCTTAGGGACAACGTTGAACCTGGACCCAAGCCAGCCCCATCGGCACCAGCAACGCCTTCGAAGGCCCCAACTGCTCCATCCTTAGAGATCCTGTCCAAAGCACCTGCCACAAATCCTGTCACTCCCTCCAAACCGCCTGCCCTCGTTTCGTCCACAGAAACTCCACCTCGTGCTGCCCCGTCTTCAACAGATAGTCCTCTGACTACGGCCATGCGACAAGCTGGCTTCGAAGCAGCGAGAAAAGCTGGAGATGCCAAGTCGAAAGCTCGCGCTGAGGCGCTACAGGCGTCAAAAGCTCAGGCAGATACACCAACCTCAGAGACACTACAAAAACTAGATAATTCAAGTCCAACAGGTATGCCACCACCGAGTGGGGCCACGGAGGCGGGGGAAGCGCTGAAGCCCGAGACGGGGAACACAAGTGCGGAAGGAAACGCGGACGATGTGCCTGTTACGGAAGAGGGAAAAGGAGAGGCTGAGGAAGAAGGCAAGAATTCGAATGTGCACGGACTGGGGGCAATGGACGCTGACAAGGTGGAGACTGACGGCAAAGAGACGAAGATGTTAAGGTCGAAGAAGGCAGAGGATTCAGCAACTGAGGCCACAGTAGCTAGCGAATCCGAGGAAGTACTGGAAGGCCGAGGACAAGCTGAATCCTTCTCCGAAGACATACCGAACTCCAAGGAGGTCGAGGAAGCGGCGAATGCATCAATAATGCATGACAAGTCACACATTGTTCTCGTCGGGTCGCGGGAAGCGGACAGGACTCCACCATCCGAGCCAGTCGATGAGAAAGAGGAGTTGAGTGATCCGAAAGAGAAAGATGGATCGAAGCTGAAGGAAGCCACGAATGTTTCGGACGAAGGCCAGGGACTCCCAGGGGATAAGACGCAGGATCAGCCTGCAGCGAGTGGGGTGGAAGCTGGGAATAGCGTTGCTGACTGAAAAGAGGCATATTGCTTTTCGTATAGTAACCTTACGTTGGCAACAAATCCAACGGATGAATTTACGATCTGACTTCGATTCTGCATTGCCTATTTCTAAGGCTTTGAATCGAAACCAAAGACAATACTTAGTACAAGTCAGTGAACTCAAAATACGGATGTAACTCGGCTTTAAGAAGTTTCCACTCTACGGCAGCCGAGAACTCTTGGCCCCACTCTAGACGCAGGACGGCGCATCTTTGACAACAACGACCGAACTCACATATCGCGCGCAATGCTGTTCTTCAGGTATGCCCCCGTCTTACCCCTGTCAATAGCGTCTTACCGCATGTTCGCTCACGATCCTCCTCCCCAGCTTCTTTAAAACCCTCGTTGACCACGAAGTCACCGTTGAACTCAAAAACGACATCTCAATTAAAGGCATACTCAAATCGGTCGACCAATTCCTGAACATCAAGCTCGATGATATTCAGGTGGTTGAGGAGCTGAAGTATCCCCATTTGGTGAGCCCAGCCCACACCCATCCCCGAGATCCAAGTACGGAACACAAGTTTCCGGAGTCTGAGAGGTTAGGGCAGAGTGCTGATTATCTGGCTGTGCACCTAGTCATCCGTCAAGAACGTTTTCATACGGGGTAGTGTCGTGCGGTATGTGCACTTGCCTGGGGCAGCGGTAGACGTGGCGTTGTTAGAGGATGCTACGAGGAGAGGTACATGAGGTTCGAACATGAGAGCGTGGACATTGCAGAGACTGATGGTACTTTGGCAATCTAGAAGCGGCATCGCAAGCATCTAAACCTCGATGATCGATACTGAGTGGGAAGAGGCGGGACACGAAAGGCACTATGTGGATGCGGTGCGAAGGAGTCACCGTTCAGTGAACTGAGAGACGCCTACACCGAAAAACCTAAGATACCCAAATGCATGTGAAAACATGGAGATGGAGCAAGAGACGCTTGCGCCCTGGAGGGAGATACAAGGCGAAGAGCAGGCCATCCATAGGTTGAACATCAAGCTGAAGCGTGTTCTAGGGCACTTCATGAAGCTTCTTCATTTTATGTTTACTATGCCACCTCAATGCTAGAGTTCCGTTGTTCTATATCTTCGTAGCGCCCGAACCGTAGTCTTCGTTCCCCGGCGAGCATAAAACTGTGCAGTAGTGTAGCTTATCACGTGACCGCCTGTTCCGTACGCGACTTCCGTCATGAACCTCGAATCTCTCCAACTTTACCCATTGAACTCGTATATCTGGAAAATCATCGACTCTTTTCGCAGATAGTGCAAATTCACCTATTACTCGACATGCTTCACTTTTTTCGATGTTCCGCAAACCTCGAGAAGCGCCGGCTCCAATAGCCAGCGAGACACCCCTTCGCCCATCCACCGGCCGCCCCCCAACACCACCCTCGACTACAAGGCAGTGGACACCTCATTTCTCTGAGAACACTACATATGTTATGGCCGCTTCAACGCCTCTGCAAGGCAAGACTAAAGCTCCGCCAAAGAGGACTCCTACAACGGGCGCGGGAAGAGCGAAGGGCAAGCCCAATGGCAACATCATGAGCTTCTTCAAGAGAGCAGAGTCTTCTGGTACCACGGTAATAAATGTCAGGGAGGAGGATGAGACTCTGTTCTTAGGAGATAGCCCGGTGAAAGACGGTGCGAAGATGTCCCTGCAGACTCCAACGCCACCTCGAGAAGAGTCCTCGAACGAGACTTCGCCTGGGGATGTTGCGATGAGTGTACCAGATTCACCAATATCTCGTTATAACGAGTATGGGGTGCCCAGTAAAAGAAGACGTACAGAGGATACACCCAAGCAGTCATTGCAAACCGAAGAGACCAAAACCGGCCTAACCAGAGGACCCTTTGCCGATGACTCGGACTCAGACGATGAGCCAGTCAGGACACCGAGCTTCCCAGCAAGCGAAGTTAGAAGCGATGAGGAGGAGAGTGAGTTGGCAGTAAGAGGCACTCCACCGGCTATTGCGAGGCAGCCGTTGGGGCAGGAACCAGTTGGCGCAGCGGTGCCCATCTTGAAGCGAGAGACGACAAGCATCGGAGAAGTCAACGACTTTGATGGCATTGAGGAATTCATTGATGACGAGTTTCCCGAAGAGGGCGAGGAATATCTGGAACGAAGATGGATGGAGGAGCAGGCGGAGTTTGAAGAGGGGTTGGAAGAGGAGGAGGGTCAGGCCAAGGGATATGATTCAATGGATGTGGAATTGGAGGACCCTAGAGATACGACCAGCGTCATGCCGCAAGATGCTGGATCTACAAGCTGTCCAATCTGTGGTGGGAATACAGCGGGATTGACTGACCAGGTATGAGAGCCTCCAAATGTCCCAGTTAGGTCTAACACTTCAAAGGAGATATCCGTCCATGTCAATGACTGCATGGATGGTAAGGCAAAGCCTCTTGGAGACCGCAAACCACCTAAGCAAGAATCCACTTTGGCTCCAGCAAAGCTGGATAGCGGCGTCCCTGCGCACAAGCGCTTTCAACGTGCTGCGATAGCTAAGCCAGGGCAAGAAAACCCTTTTGGGTTGACTGCAGAGCCCCTCAAATCATCGTCCGCCTTCTCCAAACTTATGTCCGGGCATGCGGAAGATGCTGCGTGGGCAACTGCTGCGGCAACGGAATCGGCATCTCGCGGTAAGCCTGCATACCAGCGGACATGTCCGTTCTATAAGATCATGCCGGGATTCTTCATCTGTGTCGATGCCTTCCGATATGGTGCGGTTCAAGGCTGTAACGCCTACTTTTTAAGCCACTTTCATAGCGACCATTACATCGGTCTCACATCATCATGGTGTCACGGTCCAATCTACTGCAGCCATGTCACGGCGAACTTAGTCAGGCGACAATTGAGAGTTGATCCTAAGTGGGTCGTTGACCTCGAATTTGATAAGAAGGTCGAGGTACCTGGGACCCAAGGCGTTGAAGTCACGATGATACCAGCAAATCACTGTCCTGGAAGCTCGCTTTATCTTCTCGAAAAGGTGATCGGAAAAGGGAAGAGTCCAAAGGTCCAGAGAGTTTTGCACTGTGGAGACTTCCGTGCTTGTCCCGCCCATGTGCAGCATCCAAAGCTACGGCCAGACATTGTGGATACAATCACTGGCAGGAACCTGGCACAGCAGAAACTCGATGTCTGCTACCTCGATACAACATACCTGACGCCCAAGTATTCGTTTCCCAGCCAAGAAGAAGTCATCAAGGCGTGCGCCGATATGTGTGTAAGCCTCAGCAAGGATTTTGTGGACGAAAGCGATAGCTGGGAGAAAACTAAGAAAGAGCGGGCTGGTGACGGCATGGTCAAATTTGTTCGCAAAACGTCAGTCAAGGAGGAGGTTGAGGAAGAAGAGATCAAGATCAAGATCGAAGATGGACCATCGAAGAAGGCAAGAGGTCGTCTCCTGGTAATCGTGGGAACCTACAGCATAGGCAAAGAGAGGATATGTCTAGGTGTTGCCAAAGCACTCAATAGCAAGATCTACGCTCCACCAAACAAGCAAAAGATCTGTGCTGCGCTCGAAGACCCGGAGCTATCGGCCCGTATGACGGATGACCCTCTCGAAGCTCAAGTGCACATGCAGATGCTCATGGAAATCCGGGCAGAAACCCTAGCCGACTACCTCACCGGCTTTAAGCCGCACTTCTCCCGCATAGTTGGCTTCAGACCATCAGGATGGAACTACCGCCCACCAAACAGCCGCTTTACCGAGTCTCCGGCCGTCCAGACTGTTCTCCATTCCGACAACTGGAAGTCGCGATACTCGATGGCTGAATTGACACCGCAACGAGGCAGCACCCGTGAGGCCAACTGCTTTGGAGTCCCATATAGTGAACATAGTAGCTTCAGGGAGCTTACAATGTTCTGCTGTTCGCTGAGGATCGATAAGGTCATCCCGACTGTGAATGTAGGGTCGGCGAAGTCGAGGGAGAAGATGAAAGCTTGGTGCGAGAAGTGGGCGATGGACAAGAAGAAGAATGGGTTGTTTAAGGTATCCGATGGGCAAACGGCTTGGTGAGCCTCCTGTAGATAGCTTCTGCGTAGAAAAAATCTCTCCGCAGCCCCTTCTCGCCTGGGTGCGTAACGGCTTCCCGTGTTCGATACTGTGCCATTACGACGCGAATCTGACATGAGCTTGGCTTTGGACCCTTCATTGCCGCTATCTTCCCAACGGCTTTGAAGGCTTGGGGGCTTGACTCAAACCAGCGCACGACACTATTCGTCACACTTCTCCTCTTAACCCTACGTTCGCTGCTGGACAGAGCTCGAAGTGAGTTAGCATCCTTGATTAAAGTATGGCCTTTCGTGCCTTTCCCTCGTTCTGCGCCGAGGCAGCGTACGAAAGATTTCTGCCACTCAGGGGCTTTAGTCCCGCAAAAAGCTTTTGTTCCAATCTCGCCGTGCATCAAGGGAGAATCGAAGTCGCTGCTCAACTAGATTCCAGGGGTTCAGCCTCCATCGCTCATGAACCGCACTCACAGCGGGACATCCAGTGCCCTGCAGGAAATACTCTGTGTTCCTTACTATCCGAACTACAGGCTGCGGACAAGGCGATTGGCCGCAATGTATGGTACCCGACCCCATTGACGTGAAGTGCATGATCGCGGCGCTTACACGCTTTTTAGTCGCTGCATTGGTGTTTACGTTTTGGTTCCTGGAAACACAATTTCTGAAACGCTCACTACCAAGACCAAGGCCAGGCCTCCGACCAGGCCCACCACCGAGCGAACAACTGAGCTGGTAACAAGACCTTCAAGTAGAGATACAGATTCACTCACGGCAGATTCCCTGCCAAGGATCACTTCGAGCACTGAATGTGCAAAGGCGACATCGATTGCGTCAAAGACCACAAAGACTTCAGAATGGCGTACCGCTGCTCCTAGCTCTGCTTCAACATCTCCTAAATCTAGTACAATATCCGGGGCCTCCAGTGCTAGTCCTACAACGTTTAATAGCGCTTCAAGCAGCATCTCCAAATTAACCACAAGCTCCAACACCTCAACAGAATCAACCTCTTCTAGCACCATGCTCCCCATATCGAGCTCCTCACCTTTGAGTATCTTCCCTAGCAGCGCTTCCAGCGGATACTCTACCACCTCTGCCACCAGTGCCTCGCCCTTCTCCTCCAGTAGCTCATCCATCGGCTCCTCCAGCCCCTCATCCCTCTGTTCCCCCACATGCGCCTACCCCACCGCCACCACAGCATGTCCAACTGTTACCGCCACTGGTCTCGCCTACAAGCGGTACTACGCCGGCGAATGCTACATCGAAAACACCGCGAATCCCGGCACAGGCGGGGAGCTCGCCGTCTACACGCGCTTCAGAGGAGCCTATGATATGTGCGCCGCAACTCAATACTGCGCCAACGCAGCGGGAGCGGCCTACGGACCTTATCATTCCTTTGATTTGCATTATACCTGCTCAAATTCGAGCTGGATGTGCGTGCAGTACTACAATGGCAATAGTGATGCGACCTACTTTAATGTGCTGGATTTGGATGTTGCTGTTGCATTTGGGTATAGCTACTAGGGTGCATGCAGGGAGTCGTTGCCTCTGGAGGAGATCCTTTTTTTGGGCCGTCGGTTCAGGAACAGCAGAGCAGAGGCATTGTGATCTTGAGCATGTCTTTTTGAGACTATGTTGCTCCTTGCCCAAATCAGTATGCACTTTTCCTTTATCTTATGACGTTGTTGTACAGACACCATTGGACTCTTGGCAGCCATCACCAAACACGGCGCCACAAGCGGCACCTCTTCGCAAATAAGAAACGTAGCAAAAGTCATGCATAGAAACTTATGTCCAAATTTCAACAGGAGACAGCTCTCTTTCTTTTCATTTGCGTACATGTCTGTGGGTATCGACCAGAACAAATCGGCTCTTCCTGTCAGAGGATACTAAATAAAAGGTTTGAACGCGTTGAACAAACTCCCTTGCAGGTGAAATGACGAATGAGATTGAGACTAGTAGCTGAGAGAATCTATGGCTCGAAGGTTACTCTTGTATGGTATGGGAGGAGGCAGCGCTTGACGACTCTGCCTCAGATAGATCTGCCACTTTGTTCATCCATTTGAAAATACATTTCTTTACATTTCTCTGCAAGCGCCACAAGTTGTCAAAAAATGGTTTTTCTTGCTGCATGGACTTGAGGCCGTCACGGAGAGGTATGGAAATCTTACCTTCTCACATCTGATGCTGTACAGCGTAGCGGTAACCGTCTTCTACACTTCATGTCATCAGTCACTCCTGCTAGAACCCCACGACCAGCTTGACCATTTGTAAAGTATCGCGCAATACAGACCCCCATCCCTGCCGGTTACTCTCTGACCAGTGCTCTCTTCCCTAGCCCCCTCACAGTTCGCTATGAGGACTCGGATGGAAGAATCCCCTGTACGCCTCAGCCGAGGCATTTCGTTCGGCGAAAGGTAGGAGCTTGTTGACAGGCGAGCATGGAAGGTTCGTGGACGCGTACTTGTCGACCGCAAGGACCTGATGCAGCTTCCAGTTGGCGCTCCAATAGGCCAACTGGACAAGCTGGTTGATCGCAAAATACTGAAAATAGACGAACAGTACCCGAAGGTATGCGTCCCAGGTGATTGTATTGAATGCTTCCGCGACGGTCAAACCCGGGTGGCGGATATGAGAACGTTTGTCGTAGGGATGTAATCGAGATCTATCGCCGCGGTGGAAAGGTACGATGGCCAGGTCGTCGTCCGAAAGCATGGATGCGTGGACTCTTCTCATCGTCATGGTTGCCGGAATTGCTACAACTGCTACGAGAATCAGGTACAGGAGGAAGACCAATGCGAATTGCATGATCTTCTTGTTTTGGCCATATTCATCAAGTGTATTCCAAGAATCAACGTCGAAGGCGTAGTGCTTCAGCCTGAAGGTGCGGCTGAGAGCCAGTGGAAGACTTAGAGTCAAATGCTCGGCTACTAGCCAAGAAGCGGTAAGGGGCCATAGATCTGTGAGGACGCTTGGGCCCTTTGGGAAGTGATCTTGGATGTTGATACTTTTCCTAGGGGGCGTTATTGTATAATGCGTCCATGTTGCAAGTCCGGGGCCCCACATTGTTGCGAGAATGATAGATGTCGTCCCATAGCCGAGGCTGAGCTCGCTAGGCTGTCCTGATAAGAAGAAATCACATATCATCCCAAAATACCACTGGGGAACGGCCATGTATAGGTAACCGATGAATCCTCGAAAGCAAGCGTAGCTAGTAATGCGATCCCAGGTGTTCATCACCGCGCTTTTGCTGGGCTTGGCAGCTGGTCCGCTTTCTTTCATCGTATCTCTCCGCTTGAGATCCAGGCGGACCTCGCCAACTGAGACTCCTCTGAGTCGATGAGCTCCAGCTGCTTTGAACCGGTTGATGACTCGCATTCTCTGGACCAAGCTATCGAGCCGAGCACGGTGAGACTCAGGGTGTTTGTGCGCACTAGCCGCTGCAATGGTTCTGATTCTTCTGTCCGCAACAATGATAACTGTTGAGATAACCTGATAAACATACCATACCTAGGCCGAGATGTTATTCTAGATGAATGCGTCGAAATCAGATGCGGTACTCACAACGAAAGAGAGACAGTACTTCAATGTGGCTAGAGTAAGAAAGACAAGTACGATCCAGACGGGCATAGCGTCTTTCGAATTTAAATTGGAGTGCTTATTCGCGCGAGAAGTCTGCAGGAGAGATTCTCCGACTGGTTGGTATGTCTTTGGCAGGGGTGGTTCGCCAATGGTTGTCAGTCCATGCGATGTGCAGTAGACGAGCAGGTACTCCAAAGCCATCTGAGCGGAAGACATCTTTTAAAACTGGTTTATGGGGCAATACGATACTAAGCAATAGCCTTTACTAAAGACGCTTCTTTTGTGAGAGCCTCAAGACCTGTATTTCTTTTCCGTAAATGAGGCTGACAGAAGGATTCGCTAATGAAGAATTGGATGAAGCTGGGCAGATGGCATGAAAAAATGTACTCGAACGAGAGAAGAAAGGGCGACGGCAGAAGATCAAACGCCTTATGATGATATACAAAGAAGGAGAGAAGGATGGTGTGGTATATACGTGGGAGCGTTTCAAATACTTAATTGAAAAAGGAGGGCGGAGCCTCAGCTCCTGCAAGCTCAGCCCTATCACCGGCAGTTGGCTAGCGCCAAGAGACACACGGAGCCGGCCTCGCCGAGCGCCAAGCCCCGCTCCGCGCCAGTCGCACCCAATTCCTCAGCACTCTTCGTCATAAAGTACTTGAGGAGCTTTTTTCATAAGGTCAGCCATTGCTCATTGATATTTTTGAGAGCTTTTGATGCTTGTAAAAGATAAGTATTCAGCGTCCACACGAATGAGCACTTCTTATAGGGACAGCAACAGCAGGGTGCTGGAATACTACTTACTGCGCCACGGCGTAGGGGTTTGGTGAACCGGTATCGCTCAATTATTCTCCCTCACAAGACAACAAAAAAGGGGGGAAAGGGGGGGAAAATTTTCCCTTAATTTTCACCAATCTTATCATCATTTCAGACCGTTCCCGTCGTAATGGTTGCGCTTCTCTGCCAATGATGCATCTTGCCCAGCGTCCCCCCTATCCCTCATGTAACCTGACTTCAGCGTCGCAGTGCTTCCAGTGACATTCTATACAGATTAGACACACTGCAAACAACGGACGGCTTTTCCGAGCTTTCCCCACCAACTACCGCCCCAGAGTCCCCTCCCTGACCCTGGCGTGACATACGGGTTCTACACGAGGCATGATCGTGGCTTCGGACTTGGAAAGACTGCTTCCTTCTCGCTTCTAGGTCATGGCACGTACGCTTCATGATCGTAGGTCAAAGGGTTTTCTTCTGAGACAGAACCGGTGGCTATTGAATAGACGAGAATTGGACATTGAGTAGCATATTGCAGGTAGAATTCAAAGAGTTTCGAACCCGTGGCCAGATTTCACAGAATCATAGCACTAGTGCTGAATTAAGTAACCTTCATCAGCAGCAGACCGCCAAATAACGTGTGCTATGTTGTGGATACATTGTACTGCTTGTACCAAACGTGACGCAACCGACTCGACGATCCACATGTTTGGCTGACCGGAAGTCTGGGAAGCGGAAGCATCGGAAACATACGACGCTAGGTAGAAGTGCAAAGGCTCTTACTCCTCACGGTACGGACAGCCAGGGACTTGGTGTTCGTGGACGAGGCGGATGGGCTTGATGAGTATCAATTAGCTCGTGCAGCTCTCCTACTAATACAAGGGTAGCGCTGGTGGATGGCGCTGTCATTTTTCACTCTTTGCGCTTGCCCATCGAACGTGATTATCGCCTCTCATTTTCTAATCTCAACCGGACAGCGTACAGCGTTGAAGGCAAATTCAAAAGCCAGTGCGCATCGATAACCTCAGAAACCTCCCCAGCTTAAGGTCTATCGACCCAGTACCACGAAAAACCCCTTCCACAAACTCCGTCGAAACAAGTTCCAATCACCGCCGCAAGCCAATTCGTACAGACCTAGCTCAGCATCACCGCCAACCCAATCACCCCCAACGCTCCAAATCCAGCACTCACTCCCAACCTCGCCGCAACTCCCTTCGAAGCTGCCTGCGTTGTCCCAGCCTCCCTCGGACTCCCCTCCCCACTCGTCGATGCCTGACTGGCAACCGCTGGCAAAGTTGGCACCACGGGCACCGTGGGCGCGGTTCCGTTCTCCACCGGCAGGACATTGCCAGTACTCGCGCTCGGGTGGGAGGTTTCGTGATTAACATGGTGATGCGGGATCGTGATGTTCGCAGCCGGTGCAGGGGCGATCAAGATTGGCGCCGTGGTAGCCGCTTCTTCGATCCTGGCTGGGGCAGGGATCGACGTGTTTGCTATTGGCGGTGCAGCGACAGCTCCCGCTTCTTTCAGCGCAGGTGGGGGCGACAGAGGCGGAGATGTGGCAGCGGGTATGAAGGTGGAGGTAGACGTGGGTGGTGGCGGTGATGCTGCTGCTACCGGGGCGCTGGTGGGTGCGATTGCGATTTTGGGTGCCACGACGGCCGGTGCTTCGGCAGGCTCCTGGACCTGGCCGTCGCTAATCTGGGAGACCATATTTGCGAGAGCGAAAGGAAGGAGTGCGAGTAAAAGGTAGGCTTTCGTAGGCGTGTGCATTTTGGCTCTTCTTTTGATGCTTACGTGATTTTTATGCTGTTTCCTTCAATTCAAAGTTTACAAAGGAGCCTTTACCGATTCAGCGAAGTTCAAAGAGTGGACGGGATCTCCGAGCAAAGTCAACGAGCAGCGAAGGTCCAGAAGACCTGGCGGGGGCGAGTACTGATACTTTATTCAAGCTCGAGCGAGGAATGCAGTGTCCCTTGCTCCGTATTCGAAACGCGATCTTCATTCTTCACGCGCGTTTGCGCCAATTTTCGCGTTGTCCAAGCCAGCTTTAGCATAAACGTCTGCAGAACTACACTACCCCGGATTTAAATTCGTTAGAGATCTCGGCTGGAGCCCGACGTCTTTGCTGTAACACGGACCTTGCAAACCAAATATCATGAAGTGCCATGAACGCTATCAACAGACTGAAAAAAAGGGCCGTGATCACGATAATGACAAGTATCAGACATGAAAACCATCTGGAAACATAAGCAAAGTGAGTCCATTTCGGTAAAGAATACTGCAACGAGCCCTGTACGCCGAGCTCTACCTGCATAGCACTCAAAGCGACAGACAGTACTGCAAAAATCGAAAGTAATGGGGCAAGGAAGTGTCCTAGATATGCACCCCACTGCGCGTCGATATGATGGAAGGTAAGCTTCCTCAGGAAGATTCGAGCACACATATTCAGACGGCTGAGGCGAAGCTCTCCATAGCGATATCTCGGACTGACGCTACCATCGGGCAGCTTCTGAAAAGCAGCAATGAATCTGGCAAAGCGTTCGAAAGTAATGTGGTCGGATCCGTCAGCTGATACCGAGCCGTCGTCTTTCGGAATCAAAGCCAGGTGATGCTCATTACTAGTGGCCAACCGGAAATCACACTCGTATCGAACAAGGTATGCATATGTTCGTACGAAGCCGGTGATCGCTCTACGAAGCTCGACCGGTTGAGTATTCAAGAATTCCCAGAATGCGTACGACAGCAGGTACCTCGGGATAGGCTTGATATATATGCGGTCATAGTACCAAACGAGATGAAGCTGGGGGTTTTCTGTGACGACGATGTTTCGTCCCCGAACCGCTTGATGGTGCAAAGGTGATATGTGCCAGTATCGAGGTGTTGAAACCTTAATTCTCCAATTGATTATGAGCTTTCATGCAGTCTAGTTTTCGGACTTACCAGCCAGAGCTTGGGAGCCAGCGTATCCAAGTCAGTCGTCGAATGTTCTTCATCCAAATACTGCTTCAACCCCATAGACTCGGTCAATGCGACTCGCGGTTGTCCTGGTAAGGAGGTACTACCCCCGTCGGACCGGCGGATGTTGGTGTCTTGTGCAACAGCTCCTAGTTCTAGCTGCTTGTTAAGCTCGACTTCTGACGAGAAAGGGACGTCCATCGGTGTTCGCAAAGCTTGCTAATCAACAAGCCTCTTTGTCGCCACACTACTTGAAAGGCTATTTGCGATGAGGAACGTCGTGCTTCATTGTGATGAGCCGGGTTCGGGAAGCTGGAGCTTTAACGGTGGGTCTGTAGGAACTGCTCTTCAATGAAAAGAAGGGGCTGGAAGTTGCCGCTAACCGCGGGCCTCAGAAACACTAACCCTATATTAATAAGTCCTGGGAAACTAAAAGTTGCCGCAAGCACCCATAGCACCCCTCCCTCGAAAATCCGAATATTGGAATTTCTTGAATAACTTCACACCGATAATTTATAATACTCTAGAAATTTCATGATTTATTAAAAAGATATTGAATCTTCAAGCTTCTAATTTATAGAGGATTCTAATTATTCGTTATTCTGTAAAATAAAAATCTCGTAGAATTTATGAATTTCTTTAAGATAGTCTTGGCGTTTATAAAATAGCCGAGGTACTTTTTAATGTTAAGCGTATTTTCACACTTTATAGTTTTTCTCAAGATATCCGAGCCAGAATTTTCTAAAAATTTAAGGATTAACTGATTAATATAGTAAGTATAGTCTATAAAATTTCTAGAGTATTATAAATTATCGGTGTGAAGTTATTCAAGAAATTCCAATATTCGGATTTTCGAGGGAGGGGTGCTATGGGTGCTTGCGGCAACTTTTTTAGTTTCCCAGGACTTATTAATATAGGGGTAAGAATAGTCTCTAGAGTAGCCACCCGGGTGACAGAAATACCTGCACAGACCAAGAAATTCCTTCACCTTGTCAGCTGGAACAACTTAACGAATACCATCTTTATGGATTAGTCTCTCCGGAACGATATACTAGTGTTATCGATATTTTTGAATCGCAACGCAAAACCTTTCTGCTAGGGCTCTTCGTTGTGAAATTATCATCAAAACTCTAATTTCAAGGTGTGCAGGTATTTCTGTCACCCTCGTGGTAGCCTAACTTAGCCTGGCCCACGCCAACGATGGAAGACGACCAAAGTGCTTGCAGGACGGGTAGATCAGGCCCCGCTCGCCGCCCATCTGGTAAAGTCCGTCTAAGGTACGTTTAGGAGCGGGTGGCATACCTTACCTTAGGACTAACAGTATCAGATAAACTCGTTTGGAGATGGACAGGTGGTAGCCTCTTCTGTAGAAAGGCTAGAAGCATCCACGTAGGAATTCAGCTCAAGGCCGAGGGCCTAATCCTTTCTAGGTCCTGTTGCATTCGTCATGAACTTGGACTGGCGCTTAGAGTAGAGCTGAAGATGCGGGCCTGGTGGGCGAACCAATTAGCAGGGAGAGCCTTATCAGCACTCCCTGCTGAGTGCTGTTTCCTGTGCGATCTGGCGCCAAGTGGGGTACCCCCATCATTGAAAACCCACTTTCCAGAATTCTTCCTTTTGAGCCAGACAAACTAAAATTTCAAGATCAAGCAAACGTACAACTTAGGCTCACGCGCTTCATGGGACTAATCTGATGGCCGTGAGTAACGCATTCTTGTTCCAATGATACATTAGGTATTAGGTCTATTTTCATACTGATAAATGCGAAACAGACCTCTACCGACATTTCCGATATCCCCGATGGTCGCTTACTTCAAGTCTTCTCTTCTCGTCTCAGCCAAGATGACATATCCGCAGAGTAGGAACATTCTAAATTGACGCCAAATTGTCACTGATCTATCTTTAGTATTATTGCTATACACGGTCTGGGGACTACCTCTCCCAAGACATGGGAAGCTATAGGAAACCAAGCATGTGGTGTCCAAAGACCACGGGTCAATTGGCTCAGTGACAATGACATGCTGCCCGATGTCGTTCCCTCCGCCAACATATTTACCTTTACTTGGAATTCGAAGTACTACGAGAATGCGCCTGTTGCACGTATACATGACGTGGCAGATGTCCTCTTGAGTAAGCTCCGAAGCCAGCGGGACAAGGTAGAATCAATACGCTTTTGAATGAACACTCTGATTCTCGGTATAGGGAAACACGCACCCAAGACCGCTCATTTTCATAGCTTCATGCTTTGGGGGACTCATCGTTACGAAGGTCAGGTCGAGTCTTTCATAAAGCTTTAGAAAGGTGATTACTAAAGGCTTTTAGGCTCTCGAAATCGCCAATATCACAGGAAGCGAGTATCAGAAATTGGTCGTTGCAACATCCGGGGTTATTTTCCTCGGGTCTCCTCTGCAAGGCACACGCGCCGGAACGGCAGCACAGTGGAGAGCCATGCTCGCGGGTGTTCTCAACAAAAGCCCTTCACAGACGCTGCTTCAAGATCTCGATGGCGGTACTAAAGCACTACTTGAGACATCAGAGCGATTCGCCAAAATGATTAGAGCTCCTCCAATGCAGACAATGACGAAGTTTTTCTGGGAATCCAAACGGACTCAATTAGCCAACGCAATACTCCCACGCCGGATGACAAAGTTCTGGACGAAAACAAACAGGATTGTGAGACGCCTTATTTAATCCACTAAGCATAGCTAATCGTATTTGATGATGCATAGCTCGTCGAAGAAGACTCTGCTTGCTTCTTGGGACTTCCAAAACAACAGCTTGACGCGGCTCATGTGATGATGAACAAGTTTCTTGGCCCTACCGACGCGAACTTCGAGCTGGTCAGTGATACCATCAAGGAAATGGTGGGAGAAGCAAAAAGAATTACTCTTGCTCAACGAGAAGGTAAGATCTCTCCTTGGGCAGTAAAACAGCCTATATCATTTCGGCCTTTTTCTCTAACGGATACGTTCAATTTAGCTGTAAATATCCATAATGAGCATTTTATGGTTTCTCGACTAGTAAACTCAGTGTTTACTGGCCGAGAGAAAGAGATCAAGAATCTTCAGCAATCACTATCCCCCTCTCGTTCGACAGACTCGCAGGCCAGAAAGCCAAAGACATATGTGATCGAAGGTTTGGGGGGAGCCGGGAAGAGCGAAGTGGCTCTGAAGTTCGCGTACGATAACCGCGACGTGTAGGATACCGCATAATAGATTAAACAGCCTAAGCTGATTCGTATTTAGGTTCTGGGGTGTCTTTTGGCTCGATGCGAGCAGCAAAAATTCACTCAAGCGCGGTTTCGTGGATATTGCCGAGAAGTGCGACCTGCACGACAAGAGCTTCGAAGGTGCCAGGTCGTGGCTCCAAGAGACCTCTCACTCTTGGTTGCTCATTTTGGACAACGCCGATGATCCTACTCTTGACTATAATCTGTATCTACCCGCCGCGTCGAAAGGAAACGTCCTGATAACTTCACGCGTCCCAAAGCTTGCAAATCTCCAGACGGCTGGGAATGACCACTACGAAAATCTCAGTGAAGAAACAGCGGTCGAGCTTCTCTTAAAAGCCTCTAAGATTGACTTGAGCCTGTACAGGACTCACGATGTTGATGCTCGGAATATCGTGGGTCTTTTAGGCTGCCATGCTCTCGCAATCGTTCTAGCTGGAGCATCTATTAGCCAAGGAATCTGTGATCTTGAAGACTACGCGGAGACGTTCAAGAAACAGCGACAACGGCTTTGGGACATTTCACCCGCCCTGGAAAAATCGCGATACGGCAATGTCTACGCCACCTTTGAGGTCTCGGCTACTTACCTTTGCGACCTGAGCGATCGCGGAGATCAGACTGCAACAGATGCACAGACTGCGACAGATGCACTTGAGCTACTCAATTGTTATGCTTTCATGAATTTTACAAAGTTCCCAGAAACGACATTCGAAGAGGCGTGGCGGAACTCGAGGGAACTTCCTCCTGACGTACAGCCGGATACAGAAGAGCGAATTGACGACCTTTCACCTTGGCATAGATCTCATCTTCCAAGTTTTATGCGGCGAGATTTGTCTGAAGACCTCGACACGATTTCCCTTCGCAGGGCCCAATCTTTGCTCGCCTCTCTCTCCATTGTTGTACTCGACTTGCCCGCACACACAACAAGAATGCATCCTGTCACGCACATGTGGGCTAGGGACCGCCTGGAGGAGCAGAAGAGTTGCACAAATGCTTGGCTAGGCGCACTCGCTGTCCTTTGCTGTTCGATCAAAAGTCCTTACGAGCAGGAAGCTTTGTGGGTGCAGCTCCAGCCGCATATCGAGTTGATCAAAAAACCTTCACCTGGTGATTACCTCTACAGCAACAAATTCCATCTCCATCAGTCTTTCTATCGACTGAGCTGGGTTCTGCATAAATTACGAGCTGATAAAGCGGTGATTGAAATGCTTCAGGCGTGTTTTATAGAGGCGGATCAGTCTTGGACCAAGTTTACCTATGCTGAAGACATTGGATATCTTTACGGTAGATGCTTACGAAACCATGGAGACATCAAAAAAGCCATACAGACGCTCGAATATGTCGCTAAGATTAGAAAAGAAAAGCTGGCCGAAGACCATCCTGATCGACTTGCTTCTCAACATGAGCTAGCCCAGGCTTATGAAGCAAATGGACAGATTGGCAAAGCCGTTGAATTGCTCGAGCATGTTGTTAAGGTTAAAGAAAAGCTAGCCGCAGACCATCCTTCTCGACTTGCTTCGCAGCACGCGCTAGCCGGGGCTTATGAAGCAAATGGACAGATTGGCAAAGCCGTTGAATTGCTCGAGCATATTGTTAAGGTTGAAGAAAATCTAGCCACAGACCATCCATCTCGACTTACTTCGCAGCACGCGCTAGCCGGGGCTTATCGAGTAAATGGACAGATTAGCAAAGCCGTTGAATTGCTCGAGCATGTTGTTAAGGTTGAAGAAAAGCTGGCCGCAGACCATCCTTCTCGACTTGCTTCGCAGCATGCGCTCGCCTTAGCTTATCAAGTGAATGGGCAAGTTGATGAAGCCATCAAGCTACTCGAGCATCTCGTTAAGATTGAAAAAGAAAAGCTAGCCGCAGACCATCCATCTCGACTTACTTCGCAGCATGAGCTCGCCTCAGCTTATCGAGTGAATGGGCAAGTTGACGAAGCCATTGAACTGCTCAAGCATGTCGTTGAGATTGAAAAAGAAAAGCTGGCCGCAGACCATCCTGATCGACTTACTTCGCAGCACATGCTCGCGTTAGCTTATGAAGACAATGGGCAAGTTGACGAAGCCATCAAGCTACTCGAACATGTCGTTGAGATTAGACAAGAAACGCTGGCCGAAGATCATCCTTCTCGACTTGTCTCACAGAAAGCGCTCGCCCGAATGTATCGAAAAAAGGGACAAGCCGACAAGGCCGAAGGGATTGAGGGTAGACCCACACCGGAGACGAGCCGTTGAAAGGTCTACTGCGGGTCTTTGAAGTTTCTTCTCCTTCATGCAAAGGGTCAGCGCCACGTGCAGGGGAAAAGGGAATTGGAGTGTTTCATAGTCTCAACCGCCGTCCTGTACCTTAAAAGTGATTTGGTCTCTCCAGACCTTACAGATTGCATGCGATTTCATACCACGTTCGAAACTCCCTAGCCCCATGTCGTCAAAAGCGGGCTCGTGATGAGCCTCTGGCATCAGCGGCTCAGGTTTCGAGAGCATGACCCGTTGGCATCGTTGATGTACTTACCAGTTTCTCGCCAGCCTTTCCCCGTAGCCCAGCGTTATCCAATGAAGCGCACAATCTGGAATTCTCGCCTGCGATCATGACCTTGGGCATCGGATATGTAGTGTGAAGGTCTTCGCCCGAGGGAGGTAACCTTCCCTACGTTCCCCTGACCCCCCCAAAAAAAGGGCAAAAAACAAAAACATACAGCAGCTAGTATTCGCTGGTCGTCACCGACCCAACTACTAATTAGCCGATCTGAGGCTTATCTTTGGCTGAGCGGACGGGAAGCCGAGTTTTCAACAGTCTGTGGCCGTATGTACTCAAACTCCTCTTATTTAAATATATAATTATTTAAATATGGAAAAAGACTTCCGAAAAGAACTAGAGTAAAAGAATCCACCGTATCCATCCCAACCGCCTCCACTACAAAATCCCCTTTCCACGATAAAAACCCAAGATACCCACCCCCCAACCAACCAAACACCATCGGACACGCCACCGCCGGCATGAATTTTCACACGGGCATCGCGTACGTTGATGAAGTAGTAAGTAAGTAAGAAAGACGGCAAGAAAGCATGTGCAGTAAGAAAGACGGCAAGAAAGGTAGTAAGTAAGAAAGACGGCAAGAAAGGTAGTAAGTAGAGTAAGAAAGACGGCAAGAAAGAAAAAAAAAAAGACGGCAAGAAAGACGGCAAGAAAGCATGTACAGCAGCAGCACTGCCGATAGCCGGAACGGCGAACCCAAATCATCTAAGTAGGTAGGGTGACGGACCTAACGTACGATGTCACCCAGGGCGGGAACATGGACCGGGAAGCTGTCGCCGATGTGGAAAGGAAAGGGTAGGGTAGGGAAGAGGGAGTGACGCTGGGCGGTTTGTCAGGGAGTTAGGATTGAAGCGGCAGCTCTGAAGAATTGAATGGAAAGTGGAGGACGAGGTGGAGGGGCCAGGGTGGGAGGTCATCAGATTGTGCATCTTCGTGTCACCCGATAATGAATACAAGTGCACTTCAGAGCTTGAGGGTATGAAATGAATGCATTTGGGGGGATATAAATGACAGTCACACATGCGCTCGCAAACGACAGACGGTCTATGCCACACCGCCAACCCCGAGTATCTTAAGGAGAGGATGGGAATCCTCCATGATTAACAGGTATACCAAACATGCCCAATCAATTTTGTACAGCCCTTTCAACGTCTCTCATCTTTACTGCGTCGTTTCCCCGTTGGCGTATTTCTCCTTCGCCACGATATTCGGACTCCTCGATGTCTTCTCGAAGTATGTAGATACATCTGACGACCAGACACTATCTTCTTGATCATCATCATCAAACTGTCCACCCTTCTCATGAGCTTGTCTCGCTTGGGTGGCTTCCCAGTCGGAGCGCATTTCCTCAATCTTTTGCTGGTAGTCGAGCTCGGCATTGTAGTGTTTGCCCACGCCACGCAGGCGCTCGTACAATGACAAATGCTTGGGGTGCACGGCAACACCGTGGTAGTCGGATTCACGGCCTGCTCGGATGTATTGCCAGCGGCGTTCTTGTTCCTTGAGATCGAGACCAGTGGTGTCTGGGAGGAAGAGTAGAGTCAACAGCATACCAGCGAGACCGAACCAAGGCACGACGTGAAACTTCTCCTGTGTGGAGATGTAGTTGTACAAGACGGCGGCAGTCAAGGCGCCGAGTTTGCCACACGCGGCGGAGAAACCGTGAGCGGTGGCCCGGATGGGGGTCGGGTAGACTTCGGCGGCAACGAGGAAGGTAACAGCGTTAGGGCCGAACTGATTGAAAAACGAGGAGAGAAAGTACATGGCTTGGAAGGCTTTGATGTGTGCGTGAGATGTGTAGTATTTATAGTGGAAGCCAGGGACGACGAAGAGGATGAAGTCCATGAGGAAGCCGAGCATCTGCATCTTTTTGCGGCCGTAGAGTTTGTTGTCAATGAGGAAGGCTGGTGGACGACCAAGGTCAGCAGCGAATCTTGGAGACTGGAGATATGGGGGTTGAGAGCTTACAGGCCAAGTAGTATCCGACAAGGGAAACACCAACGTTGATCAGGTTGTACAACCATCCGGGCATAACAGATTTGCCACCGTGGGTAAGGACGCTGATAAACTCGGCCTGGAACAACTTGTTGCCGTAGAAGAAGATGTCGTTGCAGTACCAGCCGCCAGCGGTCGCGATAAGGCGAGGGCCGAAGTAGGTGAAAGTAAGCTTGAGGGACTGAGTATCGTAGCCGGTAACCTTTGACTTCTTCTTCGCTGCGGCCAATTGCTTGCTGGCTGATCTCATCTTGAAAGTACGGAAGTAAACAAGCCACAGTGTACCGACAGCTGGGATAGCAAAGGAAATACGGTAGGTCCATTGTGCGGCGACTTCGGAGTATGGTGGGTTGCCGCTTCCGTGGTGAAAGCACAGAAGCAGAATAATGAGGATGGCTTGGTTGGCGAATTGACCCCATCCTTGCATCAAGAAAGCGCTGGTGACTTTGCGGCCTCGGTGAAGACGATCTTCCTTGGTTGAGATCTTGCCAGAGCCAACGGCGTTCTCCATGCCGGATGTAGCTGTCATCGGATATTCTCCACCAACACCGATACCATAGAAGAAGAGAGACCACGTGTAACAGATGACCCAGCCATTGAGAGTAGTACCCCAGGCACAGACCAGCATGACGAGACCGATGAACATGATGGTTGCATCTTGAATCAGACCCCATCTGCGACCGAGCCTGGTATCCGTTACATTCGGTCCTCAAAACGTGCGAAATCAAGTCCAACTTACCAGTCACCGAGAACACCAACCAGGATCTGTCCAATGATTATACCAACGATTTCCATGTAGTCAACGGCGTCGATCCAGACGGCGTTACAGGTTTTGGCTGCGCTCCAGCAATTTTTGAAAACTGACTGAAATAAAGGTTTGATGTTGCCGATAGAGAAGAGGACGTAACTATAGGAATGTTAGTGTATGTATCCGGATCTTCTTGCGCACACGGTATGCTTACCCTTCGAGACCGAGACCAGCGCCGGGAATGACCATGTTCCTGATATAATAACGGAAAGGTTCCAAAGGATCCCTCTTGAACATTGCCCAGATATTTCTTAACTCCCGGGCAGCCTCCTTGCCATCATAGGCGGTGACAAAGGCGATACGCTTCATCAGAGGCAGGTCAGCCCAGTAGACGCCCTCAGGAGTGAAGCTGTCGTCGGGCTTGATGAGGTAGTCGAAGATCTGCCTCTCGTTTTCGTCCATGGTATGTATAGGGTCGTGGGTACCGCTCATGTCGGGCCCATGAGGGGCAGCTGGACCATAGTCCTGTATGTGAGCCATTGTGAAGGTACGAGTGTGTCAAGCACAAGTACAATCCGACGTTCTGGAGGTTGAGAGAAGGTTGTATGAATGAATGGGAGAAGGTTCAAGATCGGGGTACCGGGGGCATATGTATGTAAGAGCGGAAGGGTGCAGCTGGGGACGGCTATGTCCGGGTGTTGAATCCGGTGGTGGGATGCGGAAAAGATGCCTCGTGGGGTGCGAATGCCGAAGGATTTTTCAGAAGGTGGGAGGCTTGACGTTCCAGAATGAGCTGATATCTTGATGATCGACGAGCACGCTTCGAGTTGTGTCTATGAGATTGGTCGAGAGGATGGATTTGCCATCGGCCGCCCGCTCGCTAAAAGTGTGATGGCGTTGGGTTGGTGGATTCGGTTGATTTGGAGTAGGTACGTATCAGAGATTAATATTGTCGGGTCCTTGTTGGCTAGAACTGATTGTATTCGATTTCTCGGGCGAATCAGATGTCGAAGCTGAATGCTTGATTCGTAGGTGAATATACTGTGCGAGATCCGCGGTGCCACAGGATGTCGAGATGTACACACGTGCAGACACTAGAGCCCGGGTCCGCTGTAGGAAACCTCGTCCGCCTCTTGCCCGCGGGTTTGCCTTGCTTGTTGTTGGCGAATGCTTTCTCTGCGCCTCTATGAGTGAGACAGGCTGACCCGAGGTTATGAGAGTTGGGCGAAGCGTTATGACAAGATTGAAAGGCTTTGGGAAGACTTGTGAAAAGATGAGGAATTCTTGAACCACAACCGCAGAGGGTGAGCCCGGAAATAGGAGCAACCCTGTCTGGAGGCATCATGGCGAGTTTTTAATTCGACGCCGAGCTTTTAGACGTGGATGCTTTACCGGTACTGACGCAGGCTAACGAGCGGATTCTCTCGCTGATGGAGGAGACGAGGAGAAGGATTGAGAGAGAAGACGTTGAAATTGGCCAATGAGATTCCAGAAGATGAGCTCGTGGACACGGCGAAACATTACGACCATCACGCAGATCTCAGATTTCAACCGAGAAGGTCCAATGAGAAAGCTTACCTACGCACAAGCGGAGACTAAGACGCTAGTGCCATCTAGTGTGGCTATCTCCCGATATGTTGATCCGCCTCTGCACAGTGTATGTATTGATCAACAACAGACTTCCGCAGTACGAATACTGCTGCTGCCGCTACTACTGCTTGTTATGTGTTAATTGTTGATTATTAATATCTCTAATTCCCATGTCTTGCCTAATCAACACTGGGTCATGCGATTCATTTTCCCATGGTTTGTGTAGCGAGCGTAAATTGATATCTCGGCTAACTCACGCAGCCTTATCCGACGCGAAGAATCTGCGAGATGCAGCCTCCACGTGGTTTTTTTGATTTTTTGAGGAGGCTTTCATGCACACGCTCCTCGTCGTCATTGTGATAAAGGGCCTTTTCTCCAAGTAGATCATCTCAAGTCTCTACATGATCGACGTTCTGGACCAGAAGTTGGCCGAATTGGATCTCCCTGACTTTTTAGTCTGCTTTGACACCCTCGCACTGACCACTCCACACGGAAAGGGTACCCATCATCATATCACCCGAAACCAGGAAGAATGACAGCACGCTATCATTTCAGGATCAAAGCCACTAGCATTCCACACGGAAATATCCCCCCGTCCATCTTCCATCAATTCGAGATGCGCAAGGTCAGACCCGAACAGAGAGTATCACAAGACTCTCTGAGCTGCCTATAATCTACACATGTCGAGCAAAACGAACGTCCTTCTTCTGAAAAGTGGAGGTTCCATACAGTGCAATGCAGCAATAAATGCACCCCATGTACGCACATGTTTGTGGTGACACAAGACTGACGCCGACAATGTTCGCTTAAGGCCTCTCACTCTAAGAGGTCGTGGTCGATTAGCGTGTCGCAATCTTCACCGATTGAATCCTAGAAGGAGGTGGAGTGGCCCCAAGTGGATACCTAGATTCCGCTATAATCATCTCTTCCAACTTCTTACATGTATGCTGAATGTCATGTGGCGATGCATTCATCATCGGCTCGTCTACAGTCATTAGATATGAAAACATGTGATGAGATGATCGCTCTTGATACACTGAGACGGGCAGCTACTTTCCCACAACCGGTGCCGATCTGCTGTTCCGGACATAGGTCTCTATCCGACGTCCGGGAACTAGCCTAAGGACCGACTTTTCTTACCAGGCCGCCAATCTCACGATGACGCCCTTGCAAATACTATTGACAAACGGATAGAGTGATGAGGAGGCAGAACTCCATGATTGTGCAAGGATACAAATAATATACGACAGCTCGGCTAGACTTGCCTTGGTCAAACTTGGCAGTCAACTTTAGCATACCAATGAGTCTCTTACCTGTCATGGAGCTGTTCTCCAAACAGATGTACTGACATCGAGAACTCAAGCTACAGCAGTAAGCTTTCATACCTCATGCCTAACACAACCTGCGTCTGCTTCTCAACCTACGCTCATCCCATGCGGCTGTTATCCATTAAGGTCACTCCCAAGAGAAGGCTCAATAACTGGACAAGTCATCCGTGCATGCACTGGTTATGAAAACCGATCCATCTACGTAGGCAATGTAACTTGGGATGATGCACTGAATCCAGGACGAGCACGCGCAGTTGTTGCGGAACAAGAATGACTCTGCGGCTCGCCATTACATCTTCGTTAAGTGACAGCTCATTCTCGACCCCTGATTCCTATAATACAGTCTTTTCACGGCCTGGGTGTTCGCCACCTGCGGTGAGATTGCTTTTTCGTCCCAAAGTATCATGTCTAGGCTACTGGATCACGCTGACGAGCTCTTGATTGATATCATAGTTAACGTTCAGCCATGGAAATATCGAAGCTCTTACCTTCGCCGGCAAAACACTGTGCTGGATCACGCACAAGGTAACAAAGAAGGGTGTAGAGTTGAAGAAATACACACCCACGGCGACACTCTCGGCGACGGAATTCTTATTGTCAATCCATTCTCGCTTCTCTGCGACATCATCAACGAAGAAAATGTTCATCTCTATCCAAGGAAGATGATAATATTCCAGCGAAGATGGTGGTACTACTGAAACTTCCCATCCCCCATCCACCATCCACGGGACCGATGAACATTCAAACCAAGTCTCCTACGAGATCACCATTGAACTCGAAAATGAAATTCAACGCAGACTTGAACGATCTCCTTACTATGAGATGCTTCCACCACCTCCCGATTATGATTATGGACAAAGTTCTGAGGGACGTTACTACATAGCGTCCCTGGGATTGCAAATCGAATCGACCGTCGCCATCCCTCTCACCCTGCTCCCCAACCTCCAAAGCACTGAAATGCGCAGCTACACCCTCAGCACAGAGGCACTCATCATTGACTCAATTTTGATCACAATGCGCTCTAAGCAATGACCGTCTGCCAGACGAGCAGCGTGCCCTGCACAATCTATAATCAACATCCATGCACGGCAGTCCCAGGAAATACGATAGTTTCGATAAGGTCTAATTCATATCGGCAGAGCCGTGCGAGACTGCAGACCAGCTGCACAAAGCTCGTCACGAAGTTCTACAACGGTCGAACGGCCGAGGGTTGCGACTATATCCATCGACTGGTGAACGTGTCATCGGATCCTCTTGGGAACCTAAGGCTTTGTGGGCGGTTGTCAACGGAGGGCTTTGATGTAGTGTTTAGTCAATTTTTCAACCTCCAAGCTGCCGGATTGCTCAAGCTTAACATGACCTCAAGCTTAACGAGACCGTAACCGAAAAAAATGGTGAAGCGGACATGGATACTTCGCGGAAGCTGCCTGATACCAATCTCTCGATAATTCCTTCACATCCCTTCACAGAGTTGGGTGGGGATGAAGAGTAGACCTTTGTGGACTTTCGCTATGATTTTTTAGAGGAGAGCTATACCAGATACAAACTCAATGAGTTCTAGAGAGTAGCATTCTCGGGCTACTTTTGTGGTCTAGAAGGCCGCAGCGGATGTTATCGTGAGAGCATAGACACGACTCGTCCGCAAAGAGAAGGAATTACCAGTGCTGCGTCTCTTGACCGTCAGCACGAGGCCGATGGCTTTGGAACATCTTCATCGCATGCTCCCAGGCCGGCCTTTACTTCTCCTCAACCTAACCCCAGACTTTGCGCAGATATCCATCTCTTCTAGCAAATACGCCACCATCGCAGTGATGAGTCTGAGTCTGCTGTTCCAGGTGATGCAACCTAAGGCTGCACCATGTCAACTCCAAAGACCCTAATACTTTCAGCGTCAGTGTTACTCTGAGAAGTCACGCCGATTGAAGTAAAATGACATTTTCCCCCTTCGAGGCTTCGCGCTTTCTAGAAAGTGAACAAGCCAGTTTACTGGGGGCAGGGTTCCTACTGATATTGGACCATCAGCCGTCTCACCTTGTACAGACTCACGCGTTTCACCCCTGCAACACCAATCATAGAAGCAAATATCAGACCCTCCTCACCATCCCCGAATATGTTCTCAACCTCTGTACTCGCCCTGCTCGCCAGTCCTCGCTCCCGAACCGCTCGACCAAACCAAATTCCATTTCCTCCTACGAAACCACCGATCCCACCACCGACCAGCTTGCCATACGCTTCAAACCCAGCAAGGAACCCAGCAGGGCGACGACGACAACCGCCACCGACCCCACGAATGCCAAACGCCAAGGCCGGATACCCCACGACCCAAGTCACCATTGGAGACGGGCACCATCCTCTGGGCCTGCGACGTCTGACCCCGTCACCACCCTCCCCTCCATCTACACCACCCATGGTATATGCCTCCCACCCACCAACGACGCCTATAACCTCCCCGTTACCAACGCGACTCCCACCTCTGACATATCCAACGCCAGAAACCCTCAAACTGACCACTACGGCCACTTATCCGGGCTGGCCGCGCAACGGGCTGGTCGTGGGCACTCAAGCTGCTATGTCGGCCAACAGCCTCGCGGTCTGGCAGGATCAGACACTCTGCTGCAGGACCGCCACCGCTTCGAAATTCGCCGGGTTGGGCGCCCACTCGGATGCTGATACCCTCAAGGCCAAGTGTTCCGTCTCCGCCGCTATCGGCACGTCGGGGACGGGGTTCTGAGCCAACGGGGTGGCTCGGACCTTCGAGTCAAGGGGGCTGCCCTTGGTGTGGTTAGCGCTGTGTGCGCTTTGACTCCTTTGGGGTCGAAGTGATAAGGGATGCTCAGGAGGAAGGGGAAGGTAGGGGGTGGGGGTGAAGGACCAAACTATTCGCACAGTGCTGTCGATGCCAACTGATTCTTGTAGGAATGAAAGGTGAGAATGAAGAGGAGGTTTTAACCGCGCCACCATATTTTGACAGAAACAGAAACAAAAGTCCTCATTTTCATCGACGTCTTTTGTGACATAGGTACAATCACGACAGACCCACTAGCGACCCTCATATCTATCATATCTCTATTCCAACCCTTAACTCTGAATAGGGCATAACGCTTGAACGACCGAACACCGCTGCCAGTTCAAAGGTAAAAGGTAACCAACAACCGATCAGAAGGCTTACTTCGTATATAGCACTCGTATTAACCTCATCCTCGTTCCCTCACCTCTTCAACAACCTCATCATACGTGAAACAATGTACGAACCGCGATCTAGTACGATACATTAGCGACTTCTACGATACAATCGTCGAATAAATCTATTCACAATGAGCCCCAATCTTCCTCAACATCTGTTCAGTGATCGAGCACTACTCTCTTGTTGCAAGTGGAGATCGATCCCAACACTGACTGTTCCGCTACCAGGGATGCTTTGGAAGAGGGAAGGAATCGATTGAGTCGATCTGGCTCCATATCTCTTTGGCTGACTATAATTGTTGGGTGGTAATATGATGAGGACGATTGGATGTGATGTAGGACTGAGTTCGCTTAAGGATGGAAAAGTTTGATACGGGAAGGATCATGTATACGGAAAGGACTGCAATTTTAATCCAGTCACGTGATCAAGCGTGAGCCCTAGAGCGCATCATAGAACTCTCTCGCTAAACGCAACCGGTCTAAGGTAGAGCTGCCTAAACGCAGACTCACTCAACCTCACCTCGAGACGATTGCGCCACTATTCCATCCAAGATCATCTGCAGGTACCACCACAAAAGTTTGCGGGACGGAAGGGCCAGCTGCAGCCGGTCATTGGGACGATGTGCCTGCTTTCGCGAAACCGTTACCATGCGCGCGTGCCACCCGTCCCACCTGACCTTGCAGCCATCGACGACGACCCATTCCCGACACCTCACCTACAATATCTCCCCACAGCGAGAGTGTCCGCAACCGCCGAAACCCTTTTCTTCTTTTTTTACTTTGCAGCTTCGATTCTTATTGTCGAGGAGATCGTTCGAGCGAAGGTGTCCGTTGCGCGAAAGCGGCGGGGCGTGGATGGATGGATGAATGGATCTCTTTACGGTTCGAGTTCGAGACATTTCGCACATGAGCACTTCACGACACCTCTCCTGGGGGCCCATCCATCTTTTATAAGTGATGCCGGCTGGCTAGACTGCGTGACCCAGCAACATGACCTGCCGCCGTGGCATGTCGTCTCTCCATCGTCCATTTTTCCTTTGTCCTTTCTCTCTCTCTGCTGCCTTCATACCGTCGTTACCATCGTCGCCGTCATTACTGCTCCATACCACCGCCATCTTCCTACCCGAGTCATACAAACAAACACTTCCACATCCCAAGCTCTCCGCACCTCTTTCCCGTCCGCCTTCATCTCATCTGTTCCTATACAGCACCAGTCCACTCACCGCAACCCCATCCATCCATCCATCCACCCTCCCAACCACCCAAATGTGCATCCCCCAAATCGACATCATCCCCACCCCCACCCCCACCCCGCGCCGCCGCAAAACCCCCCTCTCCCCCGAATGCCGCAAACCCCCAAACACGACCTACGTCTCCTTCTCGCCCCAGATAATCTACCGCGCGCCCCCCGCCAGCCCCTCCCGCAGCCCCGTGCCGCCCACGCACCCCCGCCACCACCGCGCGCGCGCCCCCTCGACGTGCGAACGGGCGGCGCCGGAGGCGGAGGCGGGGTTCCTGGGCGGGTTCGTGGCGGGGCGGGACGTGGGTGGTAGAGAGGGGAAGGGGATGGCGATGGCGGGGACTGGGGAAATCGCGCCCTCTGCGCCGCAAGCTCCAGCTCCAGCTCCAGCACCAGTGCCTCCCGTTCCCCCACCACCACGGCCCCAACCCCCTTCCTCCTCCTCCTCCTCCTCCTCCTCCTCCTCGACCCTCTCGCGCTACAGCCTGCGCGCGTTAAAGAACCGGGTCAACAAGCTGTGGGATCGCGTCAACGGGTTGGAGCAGTGGCGGGAGCGGGAGCTGCGGCGGAGGGAGAGGGAGGGGGAGGGGAGTTGGGAGAGGAGGAGGAGGCCGTGGGGGGTGGGGGAGGGGGGGGGGGGGGGGGGGGGGTGGTGATAGAGAGAGAGAGAGAGAGAGAGAGAGAGGCAAGCGAGGGAGAGAGAGAGCAAGCGAAGTGAGGGTGATAGAAGTGAAGAAGGGAGGTGATAGAAAAGAGAGAGAGAGAGAGAGAGAGAGAGAGAGCCAGCGAAGGGAGGTGGTATAAAAGAGAGAGAGAGGGAGAGAGCAAGGGAGGGAGGTGATAGAAAAGCGCGAGAGAAAGAGCGCGCAAGCAAGGCAAGTGAAGAAAGGACGACAGCTCAAAAAGACAAGCGGTACGGGAGAAACCAAACTGTCCCAACCCCACAACCGCCTCAGTCAGAACCCCCCCCCAACCGATCCCAAAGTCCCGCTCCACCCCCTCCACCCCTCCACCCCTCCACCCCTCCACCCCGCCCCACCACTACGGACAGCGTATCTACCGTACCTCAGCGAGCTGGGCGTGAGTGAGTGAGTGAGTGAGTGGTACTTCCTTCCCGACGGCCTTGGCTAGAGCTGGGGTTTTACGGCGAGGTGATGGCGCTAGAGGAGGGAGGAAGGAGGGGAGGGAGGGAAGGGGGGAAGGTATGGAGGGAAGGGGGAAGGGGGGAGGGAGGGAGGAAGGAAGGGAGGGAGGGAGGGAGGGAGGGAGGAAGGAAGGAAGGGAGGGAGGAAGGGAGGGAGGGGGGTATCTGATAACGTGGTGGATCGATACGGCCCTCGTTTACCATGCCGGGGCAGTGGGAACGGTTGCTTGGGGAGATATAGATATGGGAGGGGAGGGGATGACGAGTGGGGATTGGAATTAGAATGACGAGTGGGGATTACGAATGAATGGACGAGAGGCGGGTGGTGAAGGTCTTGTGGTACAGGGAGTAGAAGTGCGTGTGCAAAGCAGCTTGTTTGCGTTGATGTGCACGCTGGAAGATTGGTATTGTAACAAGGTCGTCGTGTCATCATGTCGCATGGTACCCGTAGTGCTCCTTTTCACGCAAGTTCCCCTTTATGTGGCCCTCCTTCTCATACCCACGCGACAGCCAATCGGTTTCCTCAAAAAGCCTTCCCTGGTCATCAACTCCCCCTGCTCCCTCAACTCGAATTCGAATCTCCGCGCCACGGTCGCCACGATCAAGGCCAACTCCATCTCCGCCACATTCCGACCCACGCACGCTCTTGGTCCGTAGCTGAAAGGGATGAATGCTCCTTTCTGCTTCTCGGTCAAGTTGTCTGGGTCCCAGCGGTCGGGGTTGAAGATGTCGGGATCGAAGGCGGGGTTGTTGGAGGGGTTCCAGACGGAGGGGAGGTGGTGGATCGTGTAGGCGGGGACGGAGAGGACGGTGCCTTGGGGGAAATGGTGGTTGCAGATTGAGACGCCGGAGCCGGGTGGGACGACGCGGGGGAGGCCGAGGGAGGAGGTGGAATGGATGCGGAGGGTTTCGGATATGACGTTGTGGAGACTGCAGATGAATCATCAGCACGGCATTCGCAATCATTCAACCACAGGAAGAGCTGGCGTGGAGGCGCTTACTAGGGCAAATCCTTCACCATATCGTACTCCGGCACAGCAAATCCCTCCGGAATCGCCTCATCCAACTCCCTCTGTAACTTCTCCATCACCCCCTCCGTCTTCAAACACCAATACAGCAGCGCACAGCTGGTATTAGATGTTGTATCACTCCCTGCAATTAATTGTGTCAATGCCTCTGCCGTCAACTCTTCCCTCCCAAGCTTCTCCCCGTTCTCATCTTTCCCCTCCATCAGTCTCGCCAATAAGTCCTTCCTCTGGCTTTTTTCTTCATCCGGCGCATCGAGCCTGGCATTCACTCGCGCGGTGGCGATACCGGCGAGGTTCTCGACGGCGCGAACGCCGTCGCGGAAGAAAGGATCGGGGAGGTACTTGGCATAGGGTTTGATGGAGGGTAGACAGCCTATGGTGCCCGATACCTCACCGCGACGGTTCAGGACTTCGATGGCGGGGGCGTAGGTGACGGGACCGTTGGGGCTCTTCTGCACTTCGGCGATATCTTTGCCTTTGGAGAGCATGCCAAAAGGCACGCCGAATGCCTGTCATGGCCCTCCCCATCAGCACTTCGATATGCAATCTCGGAGCCGTGGCTACGCCGCACTCACCAGATCCCCAATGATATCGAACGCTATGTAGTTGAACCATTGTAGGCAATCCATATCGGCATAGTTTTGCCCCGACCTTGTCGCAGTGTCGGAGATGCGATCCCATTGCTTGACCAGCTGTTGCAGGTTGTATGCCATGTACTGCTCGAACTGGCCGATGCTCTTCGTGCTGAAAATGTGCGAGACAGTCTTGCGTTTGCGAGAATGTTCGGCGCGATCGCGGGTGTTGAAGAGGCCTCTTTGAATGGAGACGAAGGCGTCATAATAGTCGCTGTGAAGCCATGTCTCCGTGAGCTGTTGCTCATGAGGATTCGCGGAGAGCAGAGTGATGACAGAAAGAATGTAGTGGAATGTGAGAAAGGTTGATTACCTCTTCAGCCATCCTCCCGCGTGGCTATAGATGACCGGAATGGCCTCTGGATCGGCAACAGAGACATGATCAGGCTGTATGCGCACCAGCGGTCCAAGCCTTTTGTGGGCTTCATCCACGGCTAGATAGCGCCTTCCCCGCCTGCATTGGTAGAGTAGCCATATGTTGCTGAAGATTGCGAGCTTAGGGCC